TTCTTGACAAAGGGCTGGCTTCCTGCCGCAGGCTGCCCCACCTCGATGATGTGCAACTGGAAAAAAAGAGGGCTTAGGTCAATCCAAAGGAGCCCTGGTGGCATAGTGGTTATGTTGGGCTGCAATCAGAAAGGTCAGTCATTTGAAACCGCCAGCCACTCAGCGGGAGATAGATGGTGCTTTCTACACTCCCATAAACAGTTATGGTCTCGGAAACTCACAGGGCCGTTCTACCGCCTCCTATAGGGTCATGATGAGTCAGCATTGACTCAATGGCAGTGAGCTCAGTCCAAAGCAGAAATGATCTTGGTGGTAGTGATGCCAACTGCACGGCCCTAAGCAGAGTTGCAAGGCTTTCTATGATGCATGCTAAAACCTACAGGAAGAAAATGGAACCCAAGCAAATCAAGGCAATCGTGCTAGGGCTTATTTGCTAACATGCTTCCCACTCACAAGGGCAACAGTCAGTAGACCTAATGTCTAGCACCAGGACATTAGCCAAGTCCCTGCCCCTCACTGGACTCCAGTGCCAATACCCTTGACACAGAGAACTCTGACTAGGCCCTGAAGGGCTGTGATCCGTCCATGGTCCAGGCTAACATAAACTGGTTACCTGGCAAGATCTCATAGCTGTATGGCAAACTCACAAGGCAGTCTGATCCTACAGGCCTCAGTATTTCCAAGGTGGTGTGAGAGGACCTAAGAACCTTCACTTATTGTCACTGTGGGAGTGCGAGGGGACAAGGGAGTCCATCCCTGTTTTTATCAGAACAGCTCAATTCCTGTTTGACAGATGTGCCTTCTTATAGCTTTCACCTAAAGGTGACCAGAGTTAAAACAATTTCTGTGGACAATGTCACTGGAAGAGGCAGATCACAGACACAAAGGGATGGAAGAGGTGGTTTAACAGAAGAAATGGCCAAGTGTGTCCTTGGAGGGATGGTCTGGATTTGGTTAGGCAGGGAGAAGTGGAAAATACCAAAGGGGCTATGGAGAGGGAGACATTGAAAGATTAGTTCCTTGGGGAGGGCTTGATGCAGGAGTTTCCATGGAAGGTGGAAACTGCTTTCACACAGGCATTTAGGATAAGTGATCATTTAGGAACATTCTATTTGGTTTCAGAACCGACTTGATGGCAATGGGTTTTGGTCTCTGGCTGGTGTGATAGGTAGGTTTATTGTGCCGGCCAATAAACACATGTGGGGTTAATAAGGTTGCAGTTTAATTGAAGGGCAAATAGAGAAATGGCTTGGGGAGCCTTGCCTTTCTGTCTCTTGCTCTCCGATGATCGGACAGTGTGTGGCTGCTGTACCTAGTTCTCTGTCTCAACTTGCGAGCAACACTACCTGTGGGACACCCAACCTGTGGACCATGCCGCTATAGTTTGAGGTTCCCTCGAGACCTGCTTCACCACACTGCTGGTGTATACATCACTTGAGCTTGGCACTGTTGGACTCTGCCATCTGGCTGACTGTTTGTGACTTGCCCTGCTGTTTGCTGCCTGTGGCTAATCTGCCTGTATTGCTCTACAGAAGACTCAGCAGTCTGCTTTCTTGACTTGCACCCAGCAGCCATCGTTAGTTTAAGGACTGCTAGTGTATTAACTGTCTCACAGAAGTGAGTTGAACTGAGCCATTTGTACTACTTGGTGAACTAATTAGATGTTTATTTCTTCATGTTGTATCTATCTATAAAATCATGTGTCCTGGTTTTGTTTCTCTAGAGAACCCTAACACAGCTGGGATCATGGAC